GCCTCCCAAAGTGCTGGGATTATAAGCATAAGCCACCACGCCCGACCATCTCTCTCTCTATTTTTCTGAACCATTTGAAAGTAAGTTGCAGACATAATGCTCTTTTATTCCTAAATATTTCAGTGAGTGTTTCCTCTTTTTTAATTTTTTTTTTTTTTTTTAATGAGACAGGGTCTCTGCTGCCCAGGCTGGAGTGCAGTAGTGCCATCATAGCTCACCACAGCATCAAACTTCTGGACTCAAGGGAGCTTCCTGCTTGAGTAGATGGGATTACAGGCACACACCACCGTGCTCAGCTATTTTTTTTTTTCTTTGGTAGTGACAGGTCTCACTGTGTTGCCCAGGCTGGTCTTGATCTCCTGGGCTCAAGCAGTATTTCCTAGAACAGGACCTTCTCTTCATAACTGAGTGCAATGATCAAAAATCGGGAAATTAACATTGGTACGATACTTGAACTAAACTGTAGACTTTTTTCTCCGTAGCTTTGCCAATCTTTCCCAAAAATATCCTTTATAGCAAAAATAAAACACCGGTTCTTCTGAGTGTCTATTCATCTGGCATGGTTATTCAGCAGTTTCATTGTCTTTCCATGATGTTGCCATTTTGGACAAGTACAGGCCAGTTATTTTAGGTGAATTTGGTTTGAATTTGTCTGTTTTCCTCATGATTAGATTCAGGTTCTGTATTTGGGTGGTTAAGTGATGCCATGCCCTTCTCACTCAGCCTATCAAGACACACATATCTGGCTGGGCACGGTGGCTTACACCTGCAATCCCAGCACTTTGGGAGGCCAAGGAGGGCAGATTACTTGAGGTCAGGAGTTTGAGACCAACCTGGTCAACATGGTGAAACCCTGCCTCTCCTAAAAATATAAAAATTAGCTGGTCATGGTAGCAGGCTCCCATAATCCTGTAGCTACTCAGGAAGAGGCTGAGGCAGGAGAATTACTTGAACCCAGGAGGCAGAGGTCATAGTGAGCTGAGATCACGCCACTGCACTCTAGCCTGGGTGACAGAGCAAAAGACTTGTCTCCCCCAAAACCCAAAAAAAAACCCCCCCAAAAATAAACAAAACCAAGAGGCACACATCTGTGCCATCATTAGATGTTGACTCGTATCATTTGTTGAGGTGATGCCTGCTCAGGCCTCTCCCTGTAAAGTTACTGTTTCTCTTTGCAATGAATAAGCATACACCAACATTGAAAGGCCGCTGAGGAAGGAAGCCAGGAAGCAGGGGCAGCTGAGAAACAGGAGGAAAGCAGGAGGGCGCCCCAAGCTGCAGCAGGGACAGCATGGAGGGAGGCGGGCTGGCATTTGAGGCCAGTGCTGCTGAAAGCCATGCATTAGGAGGGATGAAGAGTGTTTGAAGCAGCCACCTGCAGGTGGCAGGCGTCGGTTAAGCCTGGTTCGTGATAGTGGGGCCTGAGTCAACAGGCTAAGTCAAGTGTGAGAGGGAGGTGAAAACAGAGCACCGGGAAAATGCCTCTGTGGGGAAGGTGGTCTGTGGGCTGGGCAGAGAGGGACAGGCAGTGACGGAGTAGCTACACGTGGGCTGGGGGACGGTTTTAATAGGGAGGGGACTTAGGATATCTAGAGTGTGACAGGAGGGACCCAGATGAGAGGCACAAGTCCAAGGAGAGGGGTGCAATCCACAGTGTCCCAGGCGGGAAGTGGGAGCCGATAACAAAAGACGTGGCAGTTCTGAGGCTGTGATGGCGGGAAAGCTTGTCAGAGCCTCCAGCCTGATGGGGCAAAGGTGGATGGGAGGGAGCTTAAAGGGATGGCCAGGCCAAGAGAGAAGAGTGAGCCATGCAGGGGATGATCCCGTGGGTGGGGGAGAGGGGGAGGGCAGGCTGCCCAGAGGTGGAGGTGAGTGGCAGGTAGCGAGGAGGGCAGGTCCAGGGTTCTGGCCATGAGACTGTCCTGGCAGCTTTAGCTGCCTGATGCAGATGGACAAGGCAGACCTGGGTATAAGAGAGCTGGGACGGTGAGGGGCTGGACGAGGGGTGGGGAGCTGAGGGGCCTGAAGGACGGTGCAGAAGTGGAGGGAGACAGGGTCAGCACTGGGGTCTCAGCGGTGGGGGGCAGGGGAGGTCACTTCAGCCCTGTGGTCAGTGCTGTGGTGGGGCACTGGCCTGTGAGGGAGTGGAGTGGAGGGGTTTGCACCTGAGGAGGTCTGGGGGCGGGAGGCCAGGCATTGGTGGTGGTCCTGGGGAGGAGGCCCGAGCTATCGTAATGGCAGGAGTTGGGGTGGGGTGGGTGGCCTCGTGCCATGGCTGCTAGGTTTATGAGTAGGGACCCAGGGCAGCCCTGAGGAGGTGAAGGGGGACACACCTGGACACCAGGGCCCCAGAGGAATGGTGCATTTGATGGGGAGAGTTGGGCCAGCCTGAGACCAAGGCAGCCAGAGACTCTGAGGCACAACGGATGTGAATGACCGAGCAGCCAGCATCGGAGAGGGCCGAGGGCCACCTCCAGGGGCATCTGGGCCTCCATCAGAGCTGGAAGCAGGGAGCATTTGGAACAAATTGAGTGGCTTTGTGACCTGGGCTGGGGTGCGGGGTGGCCTGCTTCGAAAAGCTGTGCACCAGATGATGGGGCAGAAGCAGGAGAGAGAGTGAAGGCAGGGGAGGGTCCCCTGGGACTGAAATACTTGGGACTGCCCCCTCACCAGGAAGCTGGGGATCCCAACCCCAGATCCAGCCCTCTCAGCACTGGGACTATCAGGGCTCGCAGCTTCCTACAGGAAGGACATGGATGGGGCTGAGGACATAGCATTGGTCCTGGCCTGAGGCCACTGAGGCTGGGTCACTCCCAGCCTGGCCCAGCTCTCCTGTCCCCAGAAATCAGAGGCTCGGCGTTCCATGGGCATGCAGGGGCACTCAGAGGGTCTGCTGCTGGTGGGGCTGTGGGCCTGCCTCTGCTGCTCTGGATTCTCGCTGTGCCTGCTGACTGGAATGTGCTCAGAGTATGGCTTGGTTTCTATTTAATCAGAGAATATGATCCAAGGAGAGCCCTGCGTTTTGTGTCCTGGTTCCATCTCTGCTACTTTGATGTAATAGAGACTTTCTTTGGGCAAGTCCTTGCCCTTTCCTTGTGCCCCAAGTTTTCTTAACTGCGTACTGGGGTGGTGACAGACACCTTGTCTAAAACCAGCAGTCATCTGTCTGGAGATGGACACCGCTGACCCGGTTCAGGTCAAATCCAGTCTGAGTTGGCGAACCAGTGTGACAGGCTCCAGGCCCCCAAAGCCCCTCGGTTCTTAGAATGAAGAGGTTCCCCAGCACGTTCTTTTCAGGCCTGGGGCTCATCTACTCCCTCAGATGGGGCTGGCTGCCTCTCCCTACCCTTCCGTGTGTCCTCTCATGCCGCCCTAACTCCAATTGCTCTGCCAAGGAGTGCTCTCCTTGGTCATAGGCACAGGAAGCCCTTGAGGGGGCTCAGCATCACCCCCTCTGTCCTCCCTTTATTTGCTTCCTACCTTTTGTATCCATTGAGCTTTGTGACATGGATCTTTAAAGATACCACGCCCTGGGATAGGATTCCTGGGGGAGAGGATCTATCAGACAGTCACACCTTAGTGATAATTGACTTGGTCTTTTGCCAAGGGAAAAACAGACTGACAGAAGGGGAGGAGGCGCGTGAGCCTGGGAGGTAGGTGGGAGAGGCAGGCGGTAGAGAGACTTCAGGCTGTGTGTGCTGCACAAATCCCTTCACCCACAGTGACTCCATCCACCTTTTCCATTCCTTTCCCCTAACCTTAGGCACCCACTGGGAGGAAGCATTGGCTGATATGTAATGCCATCTCCCTTCCTCCCGACCCAGAGTCCTGTGGGACCCCAGGCCACTTGGCCTGGTTGGTGGTGGGGGACAGTGGGAGGGTCAGGGTTCTATAACTAAGCTCCCAGCATAGAATTTCACGCCACAGTTCAGGTGCCATGGCAACCAGCCAAACACCCGAAGTTTCAGAGTCCAAGTTCTGCCGTGACGCCATCTCCAGCCCAGCCTGCTGGGGCCTGCTGGCTGTGCCCCAGACAGCCTCAGCTGCTCAAACTCCGAGAGCAGTCTTCCTTCCCAACTTCCTCAGTGTCTGGGGTGGGAGGTGGGGTGTCTCAGGCAGGCTACCCAGCTCCTTGCCTGCTGTTTAGACTCTTACAGTTGCTGCTGCTCCCTCCCCAGCCTAGCCATGAAACCGCCCAAGGGGGACCAGGAGCTCTGTGTACTTTGCACAGCAGCGAGAAAGGAGCCATTGCTCCCCACGGCAGGAGGTCAAGCAGACCCCGTCATCATGGCCATGATAAAAGGTGAGAGCCATCCCCACCCTGGGCTTGGGCCCTCCCCGTCGCCAGGACTCCTTTCAGCCTGCGACCTGCAAAGTCTCTTCCAACTTCCTTGAAGCCTTCGGAAGACCTGAGCCTCCCAAGCTGACCCTTCGCGGGAAGTGTTGGCTGCTGGGATTGTCCAAGTGAGTGCGGGAGGAGGGGAGCATGGGGTTTGCAGTGAGGCCCGCTTGGAAAGACAGAGCCTTTGTCCTAGCTTTTAGCTTTCCTCACTTTTCTTCAATTTTACTCTCAAGGAGAGCAGACACTAATTTTCTATGTTAGTAATGACTGATTAGTACTTTAAGTGGGAGTAGTTTAGCAGATTAAAGGTTTGGGTCTCTACTGGATGATTGTTTAGAATCTTCACACTACTAGTTTGTGATATGTGGGTAGATTGATATTTCTAAGCCTCAATATTCTGTGAAATGGGAAACACAAGAGCATCTACCTTACAGCATTGTTGGGAGGCTTTAACGGAAATAACTTTACATCGGATGCCTAGGTGGAGAACTTGGAGCAATGTTCTCAATTAACTGTAACTATTAGCTTTCTATTATGCATTGTCTGTCCAAGAGAAACTGCATTTTATCTGGAAATACTGCCTTCCCCCAAATGAAGCAGCTGGATGGAGTTGGGTTTGGTGGCAGTGCAGTGCAAGAACAAAGACCCCAGTATTCCCATGGTGCTGTATTGGGCTTCCTGCCTCGTGACCCGGTGGGCCCAGGTTGTGACCTTCATGTCCATCGCGTTACAGGTCCGGCCCGCCAAGTACCTCCGCCATCCTGCACGGTTAAGCATAGATCATGACATCTCCATGTTCAAGGCACTAGCTTATACCCCGGCAAATGGGTACTCAGAAACGTGAGCATCGCCACCCCAGCCATCTCCCTTGGGCTGGAGCTGTTGGAGGGTTGAGGGAGAGACATGGAGCCATTCTCAGCCACTTGGAATCTGAGTGGACACTCAAGGGCCTCCCTGGGTCCAGAGGCTGAGCAGGGGATTGAGGACTCAGGCGAGCTCAGGGGATCCCAGCGCCTGTCCAGCCGGCACAGCAGAGTCTCCTTGTCTCGGCTCCTTTGGCTGGGGCCTCAGCTCCGGCCATGTGTTCTGCTAGGGGTGACTTGCCAGTAGGCCAGGCAGGATTGAGCTAGGGGCCAGGGGTGAAGTGGTGGCCCCCTGCAGAGCCTCCCAGGCCCAGCCTCTGGAAGGGCACGTGGAGCAGCGGCCACAGATGACCTAAGCTGCTGGGCAGGTGTGGTGGCATGCAATCAGGGGTCTGAGATCTGGGTGCCTGCCGGGGGCTTTTCTCTGGGGAACAGCCATCTCAGCAGGGGAAGCCTCTGGCCTGGCTAGGCCTTTTCTGAATGCCAACAGCAGCCACAGGGCTATTACTTCTTGGCCCCAACTCTGACTGGGTGGGTGGTTGCCCAAGCTGCTGGGCAGCTGTTATTTTACTGTTCCCCCTGAGCAAGTTCTTGAAAATATCAGGTCATGTGTTAAAAGTCCCATTTTACAGATGAGGAAATCAAGAGTCCCCAAACACCCAGGAGCCACAGAATCTGAAGTGGGAGGGAAATCTTGCCTGAGGCGGGCTGGGTGTCAGTGGGGCAGCCTTCCTTTAGCTGACCAGGCCCCTCTCCTTGGTTGCCCTGCAGGGAACACATGGGCCACAGCAGCCCTGGGCTTTGCTATCTCTTGGATCCCAAAAAGTAACTCTCGGGGTTTGGAATGTCCAGCTGCCCGCAGGCCTCATGGAGGAGCGCATCTCCAACCCAAGTGTAAGATGGGGGTTATGGACAGATGTTGGGGTTGGGAGGTTGGGGGTGGAGTGTACCCTTAGGACCTGGGCAGTGCTAAAGGGTCAAGACTCTCTCCTTGGGAAGGCCAGATCTCCTGCAAGACACCGATTGGGCGATGTTGACATCACCATGTCTTGAAGTCAATGTTAAGTGACATGGCATGTCACCGGGTGATGCTGGCGATGACATGGGCTCCTAAGTTGTGGGATGCAATATTGTCATGCAAACGAACTTACAGACTTGTAGTGATCTCAGGATGTTTCTGTGTCCTGGATGTCAGGCAGATGGCCTAAGCGGCCATCTTTTTTTTTTTTTTTTTTGAGATTGAGTCTCACTCTGTTGCCCAGGCTAGAGTGGAAGTGGTATCTCAGCTCACTGCAACCTCCGCCTTCCAGGAGTTCAAAGTGACTCACTGCCTCAGCCTCCCGAGTAGCTGGGATTACAGGTGCATACCACCATGCACAGCTAATTTTTGTATTTTTAGTAGAGATGGGGTTTCACTATGCTGGTCAGGCTGGTCTCGAACTCCTGACCTCAAGTGATCCGCCTGCCTCAGCCTTCCAAAGTGCTGGGATTGCAGTGTGAGCCACCGCGCCAGCCTAAGTGACCATTTGGTTGTCCCTGCCCCGCTGCTGAGGTGTGGTTTCAGTCAGCCGAAGGTCAGAGGATAAATCCAGGACCATCAGTTGGCTAGGCAGAGAATGAGGCTCCAGTTCCTCGGCCTGAGAGCCCTCCCTTCCCCACCACTCCCCCTTTCAGGCCTGAACCCCACCCGCATCCTGCCAGTACTACTTTGAGAAGATCTTACCCACCGGGGAACGTAGGGCTCCCCAGTACACGTTTAGCTACCGGCGCCCATACAGAGGATGGACCCCCAACCCAGCCCCAAACTAGTACCAGATACCTCTTGTTGGGTTCAACACTCCCTGTCAGCCGAGCTGCTCCCAGCCACAGTCTGGCCTCTCCAGGACAAGAACTGGTTCTACAAGGAGGATGTGGCAGGAGGCCCTGGACCTACCAGGTACTCGACCTGAGCCATCCACCTCATCAGAACCCAGGCCCCACCTACAGCATGGCCACAAGCGCTTGCTTACCCTCTGACCTCCCCACACCTCACGGCCTGGCCCTGGCTCCCACGAATCCAGCAGGTCACCGTGCACAAGCCCCACATCCCTGCTTCACCATGGGCATCAAGCACTCACCCACTCAGCCCACTGGTCATCGATGTTCGACTGAGGCCTCCCTCCTGGGCACCTACCGCCCCCCATTCCCAGAAATTATTTTTCTACAATTGCTAAATTGAGCGATTTGACCAAGATTTCTAGTAGCAGAGCCGGTGCCTGCTGAGCGTCCGGCACACAGAAGGCATTAGATATATTTTCATGTATTCGTTTTCTCCTTTTCTATTCACAGTTGCTTCCTGTGGGTCCTACTTGGGTGAGGGCTGGGGACACTGGAAGGAATGGTACAGTCCCTGTCCTTGAAGAGTTCCATTCTGGTTCACCATTGAGGACGCCTGTCCTCCAAATGAGCCCCAGGCAGGGACTCGGGAGAGCTGTTCCAGTCCTGCCACCAACAGTCTGTGTGGCCTTTGTGCAGCTCCTGCCTCTCTGGCTCAGGATTGCTCCTTTAGACAGTGCAGTGGGTAGGCCTGAAGAGGTCCAGGTTCCCCCAAGTTCAGAACTGTGGGACTGTGCTGACAGGGGACAGTCCCAGAGACAGGGGCAGGGCAGGTGGGGATGAGGGCAGAGGAGCGGGTCCTCTGGTTGGGAGTTGGGAGAGGGAGTTTCCTTTGGGAGGGACCCAAGAGGACAAGAGGAGACTGTGTTGGGGGAGGGCGAAGGTGGAGGTGAAGGTGAGAGCAAAGCATGCAGGTGCAGTGACAGGGAACTGGGGAGGTGCAGAGCGGCAGGGGCCTGGGTGCAGGGAGGCTGCACTCCTGGGCCACATGGTGGGCAGCTGGAGGGGGCCTGGCTTTGCCCCTGAACATGTGAGGGCCGGAAGATGCTTGGGCAGTGAGAGAAGCTCGACAGGCAGAGCGGGAGGCAGCTTCTCAGCCGGGCAGACACCCTGGGAAGTGTCAGCTTGTCACATGCTGTTTTTGGGAGTCACTTGCTATGTCCCCAGCTCAACAGCTTGCCGGAAAGTGCAGTGCCTGTCAGAGGAGCACATGAATTAGCCAGGAGAGGGCAGCGTTGCCTCAATCTTCAAGCCCAGGCCTGTGCCCACCCACCCAGGCCCCCACCTGCTCTGGCTTTGCTGCTGCTGGGCGGACAGGCGCCAGCTCCTGTTGGTCTTGAGGAGGCGAGGGTCTCTAGGGCCGACATTTGTCCTTCCTCCGTTCTTGGCATCCAGAGCCTCAATTCACCTCTACTCCTGGACACAGGAAGGTGTGAGGGGAGTTCTACTCTGACCTGGCAGCCCCAGGCCAGCGAGAGGCATGGAGGGGATGTGGCTGAGGTCAGCGGAGGGGCGGGGAGGGAGGGTGGGAGCCATGGAGTGGAAGTGAGGTAGGGGTGGTGAGAAGAGCCCCCAGACCCGATGGCTCAGGCAGAGGCAGGCCGTTCCGCAGAGCAGAGGGAGACGGGAAGAGAGCACCGCCTCAGAACCAGTGTCTAACAGCTCATCCTTGTAAACCTGAACAATTTCCAGGTTTTAATTCAAAGCGAAAATTGAGGCTGGATATGGTGGCTCAAGTCTATAATCCACGCATTTTTGGGAGGCCGAGGTGGGCAGATCACTTGAAGCCAGGAGTTCAAGACCAGTCTGGACAACGTGGCGAGACCCTGTCTCTACTAAAAATGCAAAAATAAGCCAGGCATGGTGGCAGGCACCTGTCATCTCAGCTACTTGGGAGGCTGAGGTGGGAGGATCGCTTGAGCCCAGGAGGTGGAGGCTGCAGTGAGCTGTGATCGTGCCACTGCACTCCAGCCTGGGAGACAGAGCAAGACTCTGTTTAAAAAAAAAAAAAAAAGAAAGAAAGAAAAGAAAAGAAAATTGAAGACCTAACTTTGAACAGAAAGGAACAGAGGATATAATATTCTCTGGAATATTTTTAGAAGCACACATACAACTAAATATTTAGAAAAGAGCCTGTGATAAACCCCACTAGGGATGTCCTTGACTCTGAGCCCTGAGGTCCCCTCTCCATCCCTCCTGCCCCCAGGCCCTGGGCTTTGTGTCTGCCCATCCTCTCAACAAGGCTGGCCTGGGCTGGCTCTTGGGAGGCTGCGGGAGCTCGGGGACCCATCTGTCTTGTAGCAGATTAGAAAGATGTCATTTTGCCGACAGTGCCATTTATCACGGCAGCTGCAAAAATTAGTGATGCTTGGTCTGTAAGTGTTGGGTGGGGTGGGAGCTGGCAGGTGACAGCAGCCAATGCTCCCCGGCATTACCAGGTCAGGGAACTCTGAATAGAGGTTTTCTGACTTAACCTCTAAGTCTGGCCAACCTCCAAATAGGGGTTTTCTGACTTAACACTTAGCCCAGGTGAAGGCCCTCTGTTGGAAAGATGAGGAAGCTGGCGCTCAGATCCTGGAAAAAAATTTGGCCATATGACAATTATTATTATTATTATTATTATTATAAGTTAGAATCTTGCTCTGTTGCCCAGACCAGAGTGCAATGGCACAATCTTAGCTGACTGCAGTAGCTGGGACTACAGGCACACGCCACCACACCTGATTAATTTAAAAAAAAATTTTTTGAGACATGGTCTTGCTATGTTGCCCAGGCTGGTCTCAAACTCATGGCCTCAAGTGATCCTCCTGCCTGGGCCTCCCAAAGTGGGATTACCAGCTTGAGCCACCATTCCCAGCCTGAGTGACAGATCAGTGGCCCATCTCTAAATAAAGGTCTAGGTTCCATGTGTCACCAGGACCAGGGCTCAGTGGGTGACCAGGACCAGGGCTCGTCTGGGGTGAGGTGCTTTACTTCTATTAGGACTAAGTATTACTTCTGCCTTTATGGCTCAGTCTAGGACAGACCTTCGGCCTGGCCCCAGCTGCCATCAGACAGGGGCAGGATTGGGAGCTGGTCCTGGAACTAGGACTCACTCTTGGGGTGGGTTTATGGTCCCAAGGGAAGGGGAGAAGGAGGATGGAGGGTTCGGAAGGAATATCTGGGGGGTGAAGATGTTCAGATGAGAGATGGCCCCACCATCAGAGGGATGCCAACTCCAGGGAAGATGAATGGGGCCTCCCTTGTGCCTCGGTCTGCAAAAAGACAGGGTCATTTAGCTTGGGATCGACCTCTGGATGAAGCAGTCCCATCGCTTGACGCTGCCTTTCCTGTGGTAGAGCCCCCAGAGAGGTGACCTGCAGAAGGTCAGGCACGGCCTCCCGGGTCTGGCTGAGTGCGGCGTGGCCCCTTCTGAACAACTCAGGGGGTTCTCGCTTGACCTTGCAGGAAGCCCTGGTTTGATCCTTGTAGGACTTGAATCCGTATCTTCAGGTCACTGGAGCCCAGAGCCTGGCACTTGATCACACACAAAGCCCCCATCCGTGCATTCATTCATTCAACAAGCGTTTGCTAAGCTCCTGCCCTGTGCCAGGCTCTGGCTGGGCCCAGGGATATGGAGAGATGATCTTCACCTGGAGCCCTGGCCTCCAGGACGTCTGAGGCTGTGTCAGTGGGAGGGTGGGAATTCGCCCTTTCCCGCCTCGAGCAGACGTTGGAGGGCGGATGAGGCTCAGTGCCTGGCAGGAAGCCAACCTGAGGTTCCTCCCTTCTCTCTAGGGGGCAAGACAGGCCTGGCTCCATGTTGAGTTACCTCAGCCAGAGCTTGGTGGTGACATCGCAGTCCCATGAGCCTCCTGGACACTGGCTGGGGTGGGGGCTGGTATCTGTTGTTCCATTGTTGCTGGAGGAAGCCCCAAGGCCAGCCACGACTCTGGTTCCCAGGACCTCGGAGGATGGTGGCCCTGGGCCAGAAGCGGAAGAGGGGCCCTGCCTTCAGGGACACACAGATACACCATCTGGAGGCACACAGGTAGGGGCTGTGCACACACACATACATGTCCCTTACTGCACACACGTGGGGCAAGACACACACACAAATGCGCAGACCCACACCTTACTCCACACACACACCTGGTACCACCACTGCTTTCAAACACATGCTTCATGCTAGTCACAGGGAAAAAGCAGACATGACCCACGCTTATACCACACATGCGCACAGGCCCCACGCCACGCACGGCCACACCTCTTACTCTCCCCACCCCGCCCCGTCCCTCTCTCCCAGGCGTCTCATCTCATGCACAGATACGTGCCCACCCAGGCTCACTGGTGCCCCCCGCTGCCCTGGAGAAGTAAGTCCACAAACCATGAGGTGCCCCGACATGACATGCAGAGAGAAGTGGGATGGGTGATGGGAGGGAGGTCAGGAGAGTCCCTGCATTCCCACAGGAGAGGAGACCACTGGCTGCTCTCAGCCCTCCAGCCTGGGATCCGGCCTCTGGGCGCTGTACATGTGCTTGTGAGAGGGCACCATATTTTCAAAGCCGTCGCCCAGGAAGACAACCAGGTGCCCACCCCTGCTCCCGGCATTCAGAGATGCCCACCCCCGGGGCTGCTCAGGCACAGGAGGACTAAACAGGAGCTCCTGCCACCTGGCTCCTTGCAGGGTGGGGTGGGGGGCTGGTGCGAGGACACATCCCCCTGAGTCCTGGGTAGGGGCTGTGTAGCCTTGCTCACTGGCAGCGAGTCGCCCGCCCCTCCTGTTTCTCCCGCTCCCTCTTCTCAGCGCCCACGTCCTCCCACCTGGCCTTTCTCTCCCCTGGATCCTCCCCCATGACTGGATTTCCTTTCTCTCTCTCTGGCTCCCTGTGTCCCTGTGACCTGCTTATCCTCTAGAATAAAGATCGACATTTTCAATTACCCCAAAAATAACAGAGCCATTCTTGGGGCCTGGCGGAGGAGGTCTGCACGGGCGCGGGCACAGGCACTGGTTTGCATGTGGGGCCTGCAGGTGGCGGGGGTGGGGACGCACACAGTCCCACTGTCCTTTGTTTGCTTTTTCTCATCTGGAGCCTTCATTTTTTCCTGGAAGACTGGAAGCACGTTTCCCTTCAGGGGAGGAAGGGAGACAAAACAGAGAAATAAAAACTGTCATAGCCATCTTGTAAACACAGTGTAGCACCAAGTGGGTGCTCGGGGGAGAGGGACATGAGGGAGAGGCCAGGACAGAGAAAGGGGGCTGAGAGGGATGGGGTGGGAGTCAGAAAGCAAGGTGGGAGGTGAGCAGGAGCCCCCCTCAAGGCCGGGTGGGTGGGTGTCCTGCAGGAAGGACTGATGGGAGGGGAACGAGGCGAGGCTGATCCAGGGCCGTGGGGGGGTTTTGAGGAGACACAGCGTCTGCTGAGTGCCAGGCAGGCCCCGGGAGGTAGGCGCCAGGCTCTGGGGGCGCTGAGGTGAGTGACAGATATGTCTTCGCACTCGTGGAGCATAAATTCTACTGGAAACAAAGCGGTGGCTTCGTGTGTTCAGCACTTACATCAACTGAGGTTCAGAGAGGGTGGGTGACCTGCCCGACGACACACAGCCAGAAGTGAGGGGACCAGGATCCCAGCCAGATCCGTGTGACCACAGTCTCCTTTCACATCGCCTCTGCTGTGGGTACACTTGGCTCTTAAGTGACCTTGAACAAGTCCTCCCCTCTCGGTCATCAGTTTGCCCGTCTGGAAAGCAGCCAGCATGCTGGCTCTCTGCAGGGCTGCAGGTAACATCAGATGTCTGGATGTGAAGGACCCTCAGCTCTGGCTCTCTGCCGAGCTGGCTGGCGGGTGGAGGAGCAAAGACCACCAGGTGCTGGGGGAGGGACTGGCCAGCAGGGAAAGGAGGCCGGACCGCAGATTTACTCCCTGCTGCCGCTCAGTGGCAATAATTGGGTACTGCAGAGGGTTGGTCTGGTCGGCCACCTTCAGTTGGCACAAGGGCCAGAGCAGAAACGCGCCTCTAGGGAGTGTTGTCTGGTCCTCCCTGGCCGCATTTCTCGGATGTCCAGAGAAAGGAGGGACTCCTCCTTAGGTCATCCAGGGCAGAAGCTTGGGCTGGGCTTTCAGGGTAGGGTGCTTCCCCCCATCCCTGTGGCACTTAAGAAGCCCCCAGTCAGTTTCAGAGCAAGAGAAACAGTTCTACATTCTCTGCTTGATGCCACCACCTCCAGGGAGCCTTCCAGGGTCTCCTTCAGTGGGAAGTGGCCTCACTCCTGCCCTGCAGTCCCACACTCAAACTCTCCTTGCTCCTCCTGCCCCACCCAACCATGACTGTCCTCCTGCCCGCAGCAAATCAGTCAGTGGAGCCCCTTGAGGCACGAGAGATGGTGGAGAGCCATTGTCACCACTCAGGGGGCATGTGCCAGGGGCCCACTCTGTCCTGCGGCTCTGCCTGCGTCCTCGCACTTGAACCTCGTAAGAACCTTGCTAAGTTGGGGTTATTTTGAGCCCCATTTTTCAGGTGAGGGAAGGGCACAGAGAGGTTATGACTTTTACACACAGAGTGGTGGGGCAGGGACTCAAACCCAGGTCTGTCTCTCCTCTGGAGAGGTGCCCGCATTTGGAGGTGAAAACTACCCCCGTGGCCATGGCAGTCCACTGTGACTGGACACTGAAATGACCAGTCCAGGGGGCTTGTGGGCTGGGGTCTGGCTTCACCACTGTGCTGCTGGGTGACTTCCGGCAAGGCCCGTTCCTCTCTGGACCCTGGTTCCTCATCTGTGTACTCTGTGTGTGTGTGTGTGTGTGTGTGTGTGTGTGTGTGTGTGTTCTGGGCTACCTCGGAGATCCATTCTGGCTTTGAGTGTGGCATGTCCCATCTTGGGCAGGTCCCAAGGCTTGGGCCCTGGGAGGGAAGGGTTTTGAAGGTCATGGGGAAGGGTTGCAGATGGCAGTGTGGGAGGCAGAGTTCTGGCTAAGAGCTGGACCCCTTGGGTGCACCTCCTGCTTGCGTGTCAGTGTGTAGGGCTGGGGATCAAGGGGAGGTGTGGACTGTGAGGGAACGAAGGATCCAGCTTTGGGACAGGTATGGGGCTGGCCCAAGGGCCTGGATGCTTCTCCCTCCGCTGCCTGCCACAGAGGGGAGTTTGTCTTGCAGAAAACAGCCTCATCCATCAGCGGCAATGGGGGGCTGACAGCGGCCACTCCCCGCCAGCCCCGGCTGGAGGCAGACTCATAAATCCCACGCCAGGCCGGGCTGTAAATTCCTGTGATTCACATGCAGCCTCCTGGAGGACTGAGACATTTGGGGCTGTGGGGCTGGCTGTTCTCTCCCGGACAGGACAGGTGGGTACTGGGGAGAAGCCTCTTCATGGGTCCAGCCGTCTCAGATGGCCCCTCTGAGGAGATGTGATGCTGAGCCCCCTGGATGCCTCGGGCCCAGCCTGAGCCACCTCTGCCCAGACCCAGGCCACCTCTGCCTGGGCCATTCCTGTGCCCTGGCCCAAATCACCCTGGAGGTCACGTGTGTGGACACGCTCTGTGGCCTCAGAGATCTCATAGGGCCTGTGGCCCTGTGAGTGGAGGATTACCCAGGTGCCGAGGCAAGAGACTGAAGGCACAGACTGTTTCAGCATAACAAAGAAAATAGAATAAGAATAGTCAAAATACAAATTAGATATAGAGATGATCATGGATAATTATCAATTATTATTATAAACATTATTAATCATTACCTTTTAATTACTAATATAACCGAGGAATAACCGGCGGGTATAGGGTCAGCTGCTGAAGGGACATTGTGGGAAGTGACCTACAAGGCAAGAGGTGAGCCCTCTGTCACACCCGCATAAGGGCCGCTTGACGGCTCCTTGGTCAAGCGGTAACGCCAGTGCCTGGGAAGGCACCCATTACTTAGCAGACCGCGAAAGCGAGTCTCCTTTCCTTGGAGGAGTCAGGGAACACTCTGCTCCACCAGCTTCTTGTGGGAGGCTGGATATTACCCAGGCCTGCCCGTAGTCATCTGGAGGCCTAAACCCCTCCCTGTGGTGCTGTCCTTCAATGGTCACACTCCTTGTCCACTTTCATGTTCCTCCCGTACTCCTGGTTCCTCTTTGAAGTTCGTAGTAGATAGCAGTAGAAGGAATAGTGAAAGTCTTAAAGTCTTTGATCTTTCTTATAAGTGCATAGAATAAAATGTTGATGTATGCTGCCTTCTCTCTCTCTGCTCCGGCTGCCTAAGAGGGAAGGGCCTCCTGTCCTGTGATCAAGTGATTTGCTTCACCTTGTCAATCTCTTAGAAGATTCATCCTGCTTACCCTGCCCCCTTGTCTTGTACGCAGTAAATATCAGCACACCCAGTCGTTTGGGGCCCCTACTGGTCTCCGTGTTGTGATGGTAGTAGTCTCCCAGGCCCAGCTGTTTTCTCTTTATCTCTTTGTCTCCTGTCTTTATTTATTACAATCTCCCGTCTCTGCATACGGGGAGAACACCCGCTAAGCCCAGTAGGACTGGACCCTACATGACCGGGAGGGTTGGCTCCATGAACCCCACAGTGAGGTCTCCTGCCAATCTGCAGGGCATTCTGTCTTGGGGTTGTGAGGACACGGTGGGAGATTGGGGCCCAGTCTGTGCATCTCTCATTCCAGGGAGGCCAGGGCCCTGAATCCACTGTCCCTTAGGCAGGAAGGGGACAGGGACACTTAGGTTAGGGCTGCAGCCATTTGTCGACTTTCATCAGGACTTTTGCCACATTCACATGCCACCGGAACTCTTCTTTACTTAGTGTTTTTTAGAAATCAGCTTACTTTTAAAATTTAAGTGTGTGTTTTAGCCTCGTCTTTAGCCATATTTGTGAAATCAGGGTCTGATATACTAGTCAAATACCCGCACACATGTACACATACACATGTGCACACACACACTCACACAGACACACACATATACACATAGATGTGAAAATATACACATGAAATATATCCATGGAAGTAAACACATAGTTAAAATAGCAAATGCTCAGCTCAAGTGTACCATCTAATCCTGCTTTAGGTTTAGAGTGGCTCTAGTCTCCCCCATTATGGGTGATTCCTTACGGGTGATACAAAACAGGTTCAGCTGGCTCTGTTTGAGCATTTACCAGCCATTCTAGCCTTCCCCCACTTTACAGACAAGAAAACCAAGGTCCAGAGAGGTGCAGGGCCTGCCCGAGGTCGCACAGCCCTGGGATTATTGGCAGCCCGCCTGACTCCCAGTTGAGTGCTGCTTTTATGGAAGCACACTCCGTGTCTGCGGTGTGCAGGGCTCCTTCCTCCAGAAGCACATGTGGACTCACAGAGGCCTTTTGGAGACAGTGGCCTAACACGCCTCCTTCTCCCCCACCTCCCAGTGCCCAGCACCTCACTGGCAGCACAGATCTGGGTGTGCAGCCACTCAGCACACTGATCCACACACGTGGGCAGAGTCACAACACAGAAGCTTGCCTGCACACAGAGGCATTTGCGCCAGCTCCTGCACATAGGTGCCTGGTGTGCTCAGAGGACCACCTGTGCTGCTCATGGAGACAGAGCTAATGTCCAGGAGACAGGAGACAGCTAATGCCAGCTGTCATTTCTCTACCTCCCAGGTCAGAGAGTCTGACCCACTTAGAGCCTTCCATGGCTCCTGACCCTACAGCATTGAGCCCCAAACTCATGCTCTTCCAGACTTTGAAGATTCTCCACCCTATGCCCCACCCTCCCCACAGAGCTCTTCCTCATTCTGTCTCTGTTCCCTGCTTTGGCCAGCAGCTGTCCTGGATCACGGCCCACACTACCTACCTCCTGCCCACACTGCCACACCAGCCTCTTTGCAATACCCTCCAATTCCTCGCCACATAATTCTTTCTCAGTCATGCCCCGGACTGCATTGAAGCCAGGCTGCCTTGAAGAAGCTCTCCCAGACTGCCCTTTTCACCAAGGCAGGGTCATGACTTGCCAAATGTTTTGCTTGCGTTAGTAAGACTAGAGTTGGAGCAGGCATCAAACCTTACATCCCATATGTCACACCTCACCACAGACCTGGGTGCCAAATACCCTAGAAAGTCTCAGCTCACGTTGGTAGTTAGCAAAGTGCTTCTATGGCCCATCTGCACAGTTAACACAGCATCCCACTATGACCACTGTCTCCCTTAATCCCCACAGCCACCCTGGGAGAAAGGCAGAAAGAAATCATTTAATAGAGAGAAAGGGCTGAGGCTCTGGAAGAAGGTTACCTGAAATCCCAGGAGTGAAGCAGCATCTCTGGGCTCCCAGTCCAGTGCTCTTGCCCAATACCATGCTGCTTGCCTCTACCCATCTCCGTTGGTCATCAGAGCATCATAGAGCAAGCCCCAATCCTTGCCTCGTTTTGATTTCTGGGCGCTGGACCCACAGCCCCACCCTACAGTCCCGTCCCTGCCCCTGCAGCCAGCCCTACTATATTGGTTTAGATCCTGTAGGGTGGGGCGGGGGTGTGGGCGTGTGGTAAAGTGGAGGAAAATATCAGATTGCCCACTTGGCCCCCAGGCTCCTGTCCTGGTCAGGCCTGGGTGCCATTCTTACACACTGCACTCGTGGCTGCAAGCTCCCCACACACATCACACACACCTTGATGGTCACACAGTCACAGCCTGGTCTGTGCTCCTGTGGGCCAGTGGAGCCCCCTGGGATGGCTCAAAGGGCAGGACTTGGAAGTGGGGACATCAGGGTAGCTGAAGGACTTGGAAGTGGGGACATCAGAGGCAACTGAAGGAAATCCACACACCCAGAGCAGATCGGGGTTCAGGGCTCTCTGACCTGAGGTAGGCTCCCCAGGGACTGGGAGAGAGGAGTTGGAGGAATGGAGGATGGAGCACAGACCAGAAGATGCAACGTGTGGGCTGACCGCCAGAGTGAATATGGAGGAGCGTCATGCAAGTGCTGGAAAGAAGCGGGCAGGTGGGGCCGAGCTAGCCTCCTCCCCAAAAACGACCACCTCCGGGACTCAGTACTCCTTTGGGGGCAGGCTCCGTCAGCCCTCGGCCACTCAGGGCTCCAGCACCCACGGTCGGAATGTCTGGGATGGAGAAGGCCGGTTCTGGCTACCAGGTCGATATGGAATCCAGCCCCATTTCCCTCCTGGCCACGTCCGTCCGGCTCTCTCCCGCCCTATTCAGCTCCTACTCTGGGGACCCCGGGCGGAGCGGACAGGAGCACCTGCTGAGAGGAGCCAAAAGGGAGTCGAGGGGGAAGCCCCTGGTGCCTGCGTCAGGCAGGGCGCTCTGCACCTGCAGCCAGGAGTCATCCACGGGCGCCCGTGGGTGTGCTGACAGTGGTCGTGTTGATGTCACCGATGGTGCTGGGCGCCTCCCTCAGCATGTGGTGCATGCGCAGCATCTGGTCTCCCCGCTGTGCCTGCTCTGTCCACTCCTCCATCAGCATGTTCTGGTTCCCACTCGAGTACAGGCTGGCCAGCAGCTCCGAGAAAGATGAACTCCTTAGTCTGAGAGTGGGTAAAGGGAAGGAGGTTGCAACCTGATGCCTGTGCTGCTCTGAAGCCCCACGGGCCCCTGCTGGGAATGTGTGCTGGGCCCGGAGGCCCCAAGTACGGCTTTCAGGCAGCTTCTACACTGCTTAGATTGGAAGATCTGCCTGCCCTGCCCTTTTCTCACTCAGATGAAATTACTGAGATCCAGAGGAAGAGTCACCTGTCCAAAGTCACAGTTCTGGGAAGGGACTTAGGATCTATCATGCTACCAGGACACCTGTCTACTCAGTTTTTAATTTTTGGAGATAGGATCTCGCTCTGTCACCAGGCTGGAGTACAGTGGGCAAGATCACCGCTCACTGCAGCCTCAACCTCCTGGGGTCAAAGTGATCCTCAAGCGTCAGCCCCGGTGAGTAGCTGGACTACAAGGCACATGCCACCACCAAGCCCAGCTATTTAAAAAAGTTTTTGTATAGAGATGAGGTCTCATTATGTTGTCCAGGCTGGTCTCGAACTCATGGGCTCAGTCATCTCCCACCTCGGCCTCCCAAAGTGCTGGGATTACAAGCATGAGCCACTGTAATCCCACATTATATTTCTATGGGACAACTCTGGTCTGGACAGTGCCTCCCCTTTCTGAGGCTGGTCCCACAAGGCTGGTTGGCATCTCCCCAGGCCAACATCCATGGCCACCTGGGTCCCAGTGCCACAGGAATCCCCTACCCCCATGAGGCGGCACATGCAGGTTGTTGATCATGAGGTGGATGATGGTCTTGGGCATGAGGTCCTACACGTTCTTGTTGACAATGGCCATGTTCTGAATGGTCTCCACTTGCTGCTCAGCTGGTCCGCTGGAGTGCATGAAGCTGTCGGAGCCATTCCTCGGTCTTGCTGGCCTGTCATAGAAGGGA